AGCATCATCAATAGTAGACACAGCTGATTGAAGATGCTGAACAGAAATCGCTTATTCCTGCTAAGCAGCCTGGAGGCCATCCAGGAAGCAAGGACTGCACCCAGAAACAAGAGCTGTGAGGCTACAGAGCACAGCAGCATGCCACTGTGACACCCAGCACACACATCGCTGCCGGATTGAGTTTTTTAATTCTGATAATGAAATAGCATCAGCAAATCTTTGTCTGGTAGGTGCATGTTTAAATAAAAGCAAACTGAAAATCCTTATGCACACTTTTGCACGCGTTGTAGTCTGAGATTCCCCCCATCTGCACACGTGTGTGTGTGTATGTGTGAGTGCAGGAGACGTGTGGCAGGCAGTGTGAGGGACTCGTACCTGCGCGTTGCAGATGGCTTCAATCCAGCTGCGCCCCTGGGCGGCGCTGTTGGCCTGGAAGGAGTATGCTGCTACTGCGCTTCGGAACTCGTTGAGGTAGATTAGGAGGAAGGAGCCTGGAGACAGAGAGGGGACCGAAGTCAGCACCACGCCGGGCATCGGCCAGGTCAGGGCTGGGAACAGAAGCCCCAGTGCACTGTGGGTACCGGGCAGGCCACTCACCTGGGTCCTTGAGCTCCCGGCACACCACGTTGTGTATGAGCAGCGGCTGCCGGATCACCTTGGCTCTCTCCACCCGCTTCACCGGCTTGGTGATGAGCAGCAGGTCAGTGAACAGGAAGCAGTACACGTCCATCTGAGGGGGGAGCAGGGGGCAGGCAAGGAGTCACTATCCCCGTCACCTCGGGCCCTTTCCCTGATTGATGCATCCATCCATCCATCCATCCATCCATCCCCCCATTTTCTAACCGCTTCATCCAATACAGGGTTGCAACGGAGCCAGAACAATTGACGAGTCTGAATTTGTAAACCCTTTCAAGTAATCCTGTTGATCTCAATGCCCACTTGCTGCATTTTTAACACCCCTCACTGTATAGACCCTAGATTCCCTCGGGCAGATGCAGTGCTTTCGGCTGCGATCCAGTGCTTGAACGTGCACTGCGTGCTCTTACCCGGCTGTCCCTGCCCTCCTTCATGCGCAGGGGCCCCTCCAGGTGGAGCTGGCGCGTGTGGTCAGGGGAGGTGCCCATCATAGGCGCGGTCAGGTCGAACCGGCTGAACTCCCGCAGGATCTGAGGGTCAGAGAGGACGCGCTGACTTATGGATCGCCAACGACCTCGTGGCAGTGTAGCACCAGAGAGCCTCCATAGCCCCCCTGTGACTGAGCGGAGCCGCACTGTCACGAAAAGCAGGAGGAGCGTTCGAGCAGGGCGGCCCAACCCCCCAGCCCCTCACCTTCTCCACCTCCTCGCTGCCCCCCTCCATGGCCTCGTAGGGATCGATCCTCCCGGTCACCGTGGCCAGCTTCTGCTGCTCCTGCTGCTGGCGCATCTGCGCATCCACGCTGTTAATGAAGCCCTCCACGGACTCCACCTGGGACACACACACACACGGGGTTAATCACCCCCACCTCCTCCAGACACCGAGACAGCACACTGACCGCTGAGGCACGGCTACAGACACACACGCAGATCAGCCCCTGTGACACTATACCGGCGTGCATCTGCTTGGTACTTCTGCAGCATTCTCAAGAACTCAAGTGTTCTCCGGCCATCCATTCACTTTTTTCACACTGCTTTTCCATTGCTCGTGACCGTCCTTACCATCACTGCATCGCACTGGGACTCAGTCTGCCCTGAAGATGCTATGGGCTAGTACACTTTCGACACACAAGGCGCAGTCCTCCCCCCCCAGCCCCCTGCCCCTGGTTTCCTCGATCCCTCACCATGCTGATGACGGCGTCCCTGGCCGTGGGGTCGTCCGTCTTCTTCAGTATGCTCTTCAGCAGCAGTGGGTACTTGGTGAGGCGCTGATGGGGCTTCACCAGCATGTCCGTCAGCTTCAGCCGGTTACACTGCTTGTGTGTCTCGGCCCACTGCGGGAGAGCAGGAGAGAGAGAGCCCACACACACACACAGTGAGACACGGGCACACAGCGGCGCAGACAGAGCAAGCCACAGCGTCGCTAGCTCAGAGGCACAGAAACTCATCGGCGGCTGGCCGCGTCTTTGTTTTCTCCACTTAAAAACTACCGCGCAGGAGGTCGCGTCAATTTGTCAAAATGTAGAATCAGTTCCTTCCGGCAGGTTAAATCTTTTTGATTTTTAAATAACACGTTCAAGGCAAAGAGGAGGTCCTTCTTTTGGGGATTCTCTGTGTTTCTGAAAGGACGACACTATAAAGTGCAGTTTATTGTAGAAGTAACGCAGCTACTCTGTCTCAGGGTATTTTAGTTTGGCGCTTTACTGTGATGGAGATTTCAAACATCAGCACTTTCATGATTTCCAATCCAAACACAGGTAGAAGTGCTGGAAAACTCATTTCCGAATGGGGCCCACAGAGGGGTAAAGAGGTGAAGTGGAAAGAAAGTTAAATACAGAAATACACTCTCGAGGACCAAGAGACAGACAGAGCCTGACTGGCTTCCTCACCGTGACATAGATCTTGAAGAGCTCGTTGTCCCTCAGCAGACTGCGCATGTACTCCATACAGCTCTCCTCCTCCATGCAGTAGTGGATGTAGGGCTTGAACCTGGTGCCGATCTGCACAACCACACAGGCAAAGGGGCAATTAAAAGTAAAACACGTGGCCCTGCGCAGTGCGTTTCTGCTTGCAACAGCAGGCCCACACTCATGTTCATCATAAGGGCAAAATTGACCACACCATGTACTCTGCCGCCCACTGCACTGCACTGACCTGACCTGTCAATGGAAAACGTCCTGAAACACCTGCACTGCAGTCCTGTGTCGAGCTCTACTGCCCAGGATTCTTCTGCATGGTCCCTTACCAACCCTTAATGATGAAGCCTGCTCTGTCATATTGTTCAGCACTGAATGGCAGGGCACGGCAACCTTTGGACGTTATGACCCCGCACATGGCTTCCCAGTACATGAGTGGGCTGTTCTGTCTTGCACGCACGCCGCAGGAGGCCGGGGCACTCACGGTCTTGAAGCCCTGGTGGAAGTCGGTGGGGTCGAGCGGCGCCCTGCTGGCCCGGGCCCTTTCCAGCGCCGGCAGCATCACCTCGGCCCACAGCCCCGTGTGCAGCTGCACGATCTCCTGGATGTTGCTGAAGAGGCGGGAGGCCTCCACCTCGCACAGCAGGCCGCACTCCTGCAGGTTGAGCAGCCCGCACAGGAAGAGCTGCAGCGACAGACAAGAGTGCATCATCGCACGTGTCACGCACACGCGGCGCCGTGACATGTGGCTCTCACTCTGTAGCAATGTGACACGCAACATGAGACACTCATTTCGTTCTTTCTGGCTTGCTGAGATGAGGCACCTGGCTTCTCCGCCAGTCCGCCTAGTGTAGCAGAAGATGCATTAAGAGTAAGTTCTTGCATAATAAAATATTCAATACAATAAAATACAGCATTAACCATAAATTCTCAAGTAATAAAGTATCACCTTCCCAACAACATTTAGTACACTCTTAAGTTTATATTTGTTTTTTTAAAGAATAATTACAATCATACTGTCTTACTGTATGTCACATAAGAAAGGCCATTTAGTCCAGCTAGCTCATTTGGCTGCTAAAAAGGAAAGTGAACTACAACATATCTTCCTAATGTCAGAGCGCCTGCAGGAGGTGAGCGGGCTCTAGGACAGGCTGGAAGGGGGGGGGACTCACGTCAGTGATGACGCGCAGCTTCTTAATGTAGGTGGCTTCGGTCTGCAGCAGCTCCCAGATGGCCTCCTGCTGGTGGAACTGCTTCCTGGTCAAGGACTGAAAGGGGAGAGGATGCACGTCACCGACGGCAGACCGTGAAAATCACCCCGGAGGACGACATCAAGCTCAGCTCCAACAATTAAAAGAAAATTCCAAAAACGGTCTGTGGCTGAAAGTGTGGTTCGACTGGACCTGGGAAGAATGTCCCATCACTCCAACCATTACCATGTGACACAACAGAGAAGGTGGACCTGAGACTGCCTGTTGTGTCTAAAGTCCCTTTTCACAATAGTCCGTACTGCATTATGCAAAATGTCTTGATCTGTTCATAATTGACCCATTTGGGAATAATAAAGCTCCAGTGTCTCAGTGTTTAAGACCATGTCTGGTTCTCTTAACCCAATGGGAGCAGGTCTTGCCCGCTCTGCTAGAGAAGGGCAAACTGCCCTGGGATTCAGCTGGCCACACGGTGAGTCCATTCTCACTCTGTGTTACACAGCACTGCAATGGATCAGCAGCTTCAGATTACCCCCATCATGCATTTAAAACTGTTCAGCCTCCTTTGCTTTTGTCCATCTGAATGAGGCGCCAGGCTCATGTCTGCTGGCAGGCTGCTTCCCATGCCAGTAGGGTCATGGCTGAAGCCAGAGGCTGGCGATAAGCGATTCAGAGGGCTCTCCATCAGCGTGCAGTGCTGATGTCCCTGTATAACCCAGCAAGTCGTCTCGCAGAGCTCAGGCTGGGGGTTATCAGCAGGAGCCCTGCCACACCTCCCACCATGTGCAATGGCAGCCTATGCCTGCCTTTGACAGGAGGTGGCGCTGTGCCGGATCAGCACAAGCACAGCCACGCAAGAGAGCTGTGAGTGGGAATTGAAAGAGGGACTGTTCCAGGACAAGGGGAAGAGCAACATGGTTTCATATATCCTGCACACATGGAAAGGGAAGACGATAACAATTGAGTTGCACAAAGCAAATATGTACTCTTGCTTCCTTGTGTGGTGCATTACAACCATTTCATGAATAAAGGAATCTAAACAGCCTGCAATAAAGCTATTTACGTATTGTCTAGAATATGGGGTCTGCGCCTGCAGTTTGTGGATCAGTAAGGCCTGAAGGGCATCTCCGGTGTTTGTTTTCATTGGGTGCACTAGTACGGGCTCCGCACTAGTATTGCGCGTTCTAATGCGTGTCTGTACTGTGCTCGCAGTGTGTGTGTCGGGTGGGTAGGGGGCGCTGTACCTCAGGGTTCTCCAGCAGCTGCTGCCAGGACTCCTCCAGTGCCAGGTTGGTCTCCTCTTCCTCCCAGGAGTCATGGTGGAAACTAAGCTGGGTGGGGACCTTGGGCAGCCCGAACAGTGTGTAGGAGTGCAACTTGTTTTGGAGCTGCTCCACACGGTCCAGCTCCTGAAACACACGGAAAGAAAGGAAAGGAATTATGGGAGCAGCAGCAACCTTACCACACTGTCTGATGGGCTACAGGGCTGCGATGAGGTACACCAGCTTCAATTTCTAGATCACTGAATGCTATGGGGTATGCAGCAGATCGAGAAAATGTCATGAGACAGTTGTCCAAAAGTAAATGGAAAGACCTCTGGACCCTCTCCAGAATGGAGTTTATTTTTTATTAAACCAGAACTTGTTTTCTGAATTCTTCTGTCTCGTTACAGATCACCTAAAGTGAGTGTTTGAAGGTGTGTGGTGGTGGAGAAACTATAAGTATTTCTACATATTTGTAAGTGGAAAACAATGCAATAAGACCACCCCATGTGAACTGGTTGGGGCATCAGCTAAAAGCTCCTGACAGAAACCATTGTTTCTGACTGACCATGAAGGATCAGACTGGCGAGTGCTGACAGAATACACAGAGGGGACAGGAATGAAAGCCATGTGCTCAGCAGTGCTGAGCAGAGGACTGAGGGATCATGTTTAAAGAGAGCATAAGGAGAGACACCAGCCCCCAGAGACACCCTGCCGCCTCCGGCTGAGCCAGGCTGACAGGTTTGAGTCGAGAAGGGGTGTCCCAGAGAGACCCCCGTCCCTCTTCCCTAAAATGAAGCCAGATGGCAGGACTGGGAGGGACAAGTCAGTTCACAGCTGTGTGGCAAATGACAAGCAGCGGGTATTGTCCTGACACTGCAGGGGGTGTGTGTGGGTAGAGGGGTGGCAGGTTAATGTAATGATCCCTTGAGTGGAAACTGAAAGGCATTAATATTAACAATCCAATTTAAAAGCACTTTCAAACTCGCTGTTTAGTAGTACTCGCATAAAAGTACACACAACGGAAGTAAACCACAAAATCCCACAGTATACTGACCAAATAAAGCCAACACTGAAACAAAATGACACATTAAGGGCTACAGTCCAAAGAATCTTTGAAAGAGTTTTAAAAACGCTGTCTGTCTATATTGATCTGGAGTTGCACGCAAGAGTGTGTGGGGAACAGGGCCTTTGGCAGAGTGAGGTCTGACTCAGTGAAAGAGCTGATCTGCACTCAAGCAGTAAGTCCTTAAGATAACCTGGAGAGAGAATTTTCAGTGCCATATAAGTGAACAGGAGAACCTTCAATTCTACTTTAAAATTTCATTGGGGAATACTTCAGTTTAAACAGAACAGGACTTAAATGCTGAGGCAGATTCAATTAGCATATGAATCTCAGACCTCTGGACATACTGCAGAGTTATGTAATAGGGATTTAAGGCTTACCAACAGTGCTATCTTAAAACCTTATACTGCACTATGTGAGTGTGACAGGATATCCAGTTTTTAGATCTTTCAAAACTGAAAAACAATGCATTGTAATTTAGCACTTGGGTGATGTCATTGGGACACTTTTATTTTTAAGCTGCCATCACCTCATGCCCAAACTACGCCATTTATTACAAAATGCTTTTATAAAATGGAAAAACCAGCTCCAGGCGTACTGATTGAAGTCTGATGGGTGTTGCCTTTCTTCATTGTTTTCCTGCCAGTCAAACTGGTTTAATAAAGCAAGCATGAATTCTAGAAGACTTTAAATATTGTGTGTTAAACAGGCTAGAGATGGCGAATGTTTTTAGTCATTACGCAGATAATAGTAGGCTATTTATAATGCAATGCCACTGGCAATACTAGAAAAATGAAAATACAAGCAACATGTACCAAGATGTCTACTTGAACCTTGCATGTGTGTTGTTGACTGCCACCTTGTATGGGAAAGACCTAAGCAAATATTCCTGGAAATGGTTTAAGAAGGATTCACAAAATAATCTGAAGGGAGTTCAGAGTAACTCATCTATAGAAAATCATTTCAACATCTGTCCTGTTCCGATAAAGTTCTTTTATGGTTTTGCCCAAGCAAATAGTTGAGTCACAAACAAGATACTTTGAGAATCGTCAGGCAGTAAGAATGAGATAAAAACTGAGGCTGCAGTATGTTAGGTGTGGTTAGACCAGCTGTTTTGATAGTTGTCAATGGTAACTTAACAAAAACATACACGTTTCCTTTGTCTGCGTCATCTCTAGTCAGTTCAAACACAATGTCTTCAGGTAAGAAGATATTTGTTGAATATTATGCTGTCTTTTGAGCTAAAACCATAACTTTCTGAAGTCACAGGGGACTAATAATTCCTTGAAAACGATCTTTTCTAAATGAACATTATGTTACTTAATTCAATAAATGGGAAAACTGGATAAACATAGGCCTGAGATGTTGTTGTGGCTCCTCTCGAAGGTGTTTGTGCCCGTCTCTGTTTTGCCTTTGGTGGTTGGTGTTCGGGGGCTCAGAAAATTGAATCAGTGTACAAGTGTAGGGCTCTGAAGGCACAGAGGAGCACCAACAACACCGGTACCACCCCCAGAATCAGCGCTGACCTCTGACCCACAAGCCCTGTTGGAATACATCAGGGGTGGGGGGAGTTTCCTGTTGGACACCACAGTCCGCGCCTGTCCGCCAGCAGGGTGACACCTCTGCTATTTCCCCTCTCTGGGGAGCCATTTCTGACACACGTGCTTTTACCCAGGGTGTGTTTAAAACCGTGAGCATCTGTGCCCGTCTCTGTGCTTTCCACAGGCTCCCTTTTCCCACAAAACGCTCTGCACTGGGATTCACCAAAGCTGCGGCGAAACAAAAACCTGATTTTCATTGGGATTAGATTGACTTAACTATCATCAACTTTCCCATATTTAGCTTAAGTCGTGGGGTTTGCAATTATACAAGGTGTAAAGAGAGAATCCCAACCTCTACAGAGGGCTATACTTATCAGACACTTATAGATGTATTTTATTCCCTTAAAAATAACACAATGCATTGAATGTTTATAACGTCACATGAAACTGTGAAGACCCTGAGTCACTCTCTGCAGTTTAAATGCTTCTTATTAAAAGTTTGTAACACGAGGAGCTTGTTTTTTTTAACTGTGACAAAAAAAAAGGCCTTAGGAATAGGGTCTGTTCAGTGATAGTTTTTGTAATTTAAAGCTCGTGGAGTAGGCCTCGAAAGAACACCGAAGTGTCAGGCCCCGTCAGGCCTGAGGGCTCGTGGGCCGGGGCCTGACGTCAGTCCTGCCAATACTGAGGCCCAGGCCCCGAGAGCAGGGGGGCTGCAGCCTGTCCCATCACTCACCCTGCCGAACGGCCCCGCGCCGGCGGAGGAGCTGAAGAAGCCGCTGAAGCGACTGGCGGCCCGGTTCTTCCAGTTGTCGGGCCCGGTGCCCACGCTAGGCAAGGAGCCACCCAGCTGCGACAGCGAATCGGGGGACGGGATGTTGGCGTCCCCTAGGAACTCCGTCATGTTCTTCCTGCGACGAGCCTGGCCCTGCGGGAGAGGAGGGGGGAGGAAAGAGGAGCAGATGAGCACGGGGACAAACTGGGAGGGGGTGCGGCGCTGGTGCGGCGCCCATTTGTGGTCAACCCCCACCCCCACCGTGCCTCTGTCCCCCTGCGTCCAGCGGTCAGGCCCAGGGCACGGGCTGCTCTTGGATAGGGAACAGAGCCCGGCTTAGCAGCGTGCACGTGGGAATATTCAATAAGGGACGAATGGGTGTGGAAAAGAGAGGGATCAGTCAGAGCAGGAAAGAGAAGAGGGTACCTGCTTCGACAACCAAATGCAAGGAGATGTGGCCACCAGTGGTGTCCGTCCCAAGTCTGACGCCTACGCCTAGTGCTGCCAAATATTACAGCCCCTGGTGAACAAGGAGCTCAATACGAATGGCAAAGTGAAAGTACTGTTGACTCTTGTAACACAACATTACTTTAAACCAGTCGCATCCCTGAGACGTGCTTATAAAAATAAAGCATTTCTTAAAAGGACTGAAGAATATTTTGAGTAGCTGCCAAACTGCCCAACCGGATTATGGTAAATTAGAGGTGTCGACCTGAGGACTACTTAACGAACAACAAAGGAGGAAGAGCCACAGGTGTTTTTCTTCACTGGGCTGATTAAATACTGTCATGGACGACAAAAACACAAAGAAATCCCATTTCCCGAAAAGGAAGAGCACTCTGTCTTGAAGATAGAGCACGACCTCCTTCAGGAGTTTAGAAACTTTGAAGGAAGAGCTCAGTTTGTAATACCGGATATATAATAGTGTCTGCTCACAAAGACAGGGGATCTTGAACATCCAACTTCACTGCTGTACATAGCGCACAAAAAACCAGTCAGGGTGATCCTACTGACTCAGACTGCTCAGAAACAAGTCTGACAAGAGAATGTGAGGTGTGGATTTTTATGGAAACAACGAAGGCACCGAATCTTTGCTTTGAGCAAAAAATACAAGGCCTGGATGGTCTGTGTGTAAAAAGGCAGCTATTTTACTGCCCTCGGTACATCAGTGGCAAAACAATGCACGTTTTTGGCGCTGAGCTTTCAGAAGCTTATAATGCAAACCCTGTTACTGCAGCGACGGGATAAATTGCTACTTCTTCTTTCCGATTTCAAAGCTCTCCTCAAGGCTCACTGTCGCTCTTGGCCTGCGTGCAAAGTCACCGGCGCCGAATCTGGGGGCAGGTGAAGAGAACGAGAAAGAGGAGACAAAGGACATGCAACAGAATCGAGTGATCGGAGGAGAGTTAGTGAAGAACACATTTTTCTTCAAGGGCTGCAGAGGGAGGGAGAAAAAGAGGGAAACTATAGAGCGGCCCAACGCCTAGAAGCAACCTTTCTGAGATCACTCTTCTTCAGTGTCAGCGAGAGAAAAGGAGCCGGGAGAGGCGTGACAGAGAGAGGACTCCGAAGGAGAAAGGAGAGGGTGGGGAGAGGGGGGGACAGGGATAGCTGGGCAGCTAGCTGTCACCTCATCCCGGCAAAGCTGATCGGCTTAGAGACCCAGAGATGTAATCCAGCCACAGACAGAGAAGCTGCAGGCAGCAATCTGAACACCACACTACACTGAGAGGCAACACAGAATTCGCAAACCAGTAGTCAGATCTCTGTCTGGAGGTGAAACACAGGTAAGTTGGCCTTACCACAGCCTGGAGGATCACCAGCAACACGTATTATGGTGCTGTTAGGCACCATTGAAGGCACCTTGTTGCACAGAGCCTAAGGATGAATTTAAGCGGAGCACGAATTATCCTCTCAACCTGAATTACTGGTAAAGACGCAGTTTGCTCTTTTATCGCAACCTCTTTACACAGTACGAAAGTCACCTTCAAGCACCAGGACTATACCCAAGGAAATAAAAAGCAGAAAATAAAGCCGGTTATCACACATCCCCAGCCCCCCCGTAAAATGAATTTCCTGGCCGGAAAACAGATTGTTTTTTCCCTGTGAGCTCACAAGCCAAGAGTCCTTTTCAAACAATTCAAGACTATTTTTACAACTGCTCAGGCCCCTGTGGATTAAGCCAACATCTATTGCACAGCTCGATAAGCAAACAGTCCCCCGGGGACATCCTAGACCTTTGATCGGGGAATTTCTGCAAGGTCTCTGCCAACTCGATAACAAAGCACGCAGCTGTCAGGAAATGGTCAGGAAAGGCTGCGCACTAAAGTACTTTTAGAAGCAATGACTGAAGTTTCACACAGCAACATTACACCAGCAGGCTTGGATCATCATTTATTCTTAATCAATCAGATGCGTTGTAACTAGTATTAAAGTAAATGATTAAGTGATGGGCAACAAGAAACATTCTGCTGATTCCACAGGTTTCTATGGAACGACTTTTTCTCCCACAGATTTGGAAATATTTGGAATAATTTACCAAATTTCAGGGATGGGAGGATCTAAGGAATTTTAAGCGCTTGAAAAAAAGGCCCAAAAAGATCACTCAAAATCATCACCACCCTCCTTTCCATTCACAGGAAAAAATAAAAGCTGGCAAGATCTGGATCTTAAAAATACAGGACAAATAAAGAGTAAGTCCCAGGTATGAGAGACTGTACAGAATTTCTTCTTGTACTTTGCCTGGAGTGCTTCCAAAAATACTGCACTTAAACCCTGATAGCACCCGCCACTGCTCAACTTAATCACAACATCTCCAACAGCAGCAAAACCAGGAAAAGGTTTCAATTTATATCAGACACTAAGCCAACTAAATTCACCTCCTACGAGATCAAGAAGAGTGGCTTTTCCTGCATGTCAAGCGAAAGGGGACAGAGCCGTACTCACCATGTAAGCAAAAGGCAGATCAACAGCACTGAACACCATTGTGCCTCTTCAGCAGAACACATGGCCCATAGCGCAGACAGACGCCGTCCGATCGGGGCAGCCTCTTATGAGCTCCCAGCTCGTGGACACGCGCCAATGCAGTCCAACACTGTCTAAATCGAATCGCAGCATTTACTCCCCCAGAAAAAAGACGGGACAGTCCCGGGGGTATTCCAACAAGGACGACGACTCGTGGAAATGTGCCACCCTATCTCCCCCCCCCCACCTCCCCAGCCTCCCACAAAAGGATACGGATCCGTGTAAAGTTTCGGCACGCTCTATCCCCAAGCCAAACCGTAGGCTGCGAATCCCAGCAAGAACATCCTTCCCAAGGATCTGGATCTGTCGGCATCAATTACTCTGCGTTCCGCCAACTGAGCCGGCCTGCCTGCATTGCTGAGGGGGATTGCGCTGATGTCATGACAACCTGAGGATCCTGCCCATTGTGCTAGCCAGGGGAGTGGGCGGGGCTAGCAGCCACATTTGCATGCAGGGGGAGTGGCCAGGACAACAGCTTGGACAGCCAGCAGCCCAAGTCTGAACCACAGATGTCAGCTGTGTGGGTTTTTTTCTTGTCTTTTTTCTTGTTGCTGTCCCTCACCCCTCACCACCTTTTCCGTCACAGCTCAATGGCCCACTTTGCTCCCTTTAATCTCACTGCCCACACTAATAATGTGCTCGGCACAGCTCCCCCTCCAAGAAATGAATGAAGCAGCGTCACAGTAGCGCTTCTCCTCCACTGACGCGCGTGCTCTCGGGCCTGTTTGCCAGCCGCAGGTTCAGATGGATTACTCAGCTGGGTAACGCCCATCGGGTGGGGCAAGCGTCTAAAAATACCTTCCTAGCAAAAACACAAAACAATAACAGCTCCCGAGTGCAGCTCAACTGCAATCACCTGCCATGCCGTTCTGGCGTCACCAGTTGACGTTTGTCTGAAGTTGACCGGTTTTCCCCCAACTTCTCCCAGATCATTCTGTTTTCTTTTCACGGAATAGTTTCTCTCTCTGCCTGGGCTTTAAGCTCCCCATGTCTCAGCCACGTCTCTGAGGCTCTTCCTCTCTCGGGTTCTGCAGATGTTGCAAACCCTACTTAAAACTCAACCGCAGTCTCGATTTCTCAGCAACACAATATCAGCTCCAAATTAAATTAGTTGATGGCATCGCAAAACTGTACAATTTCCAACACTAAGCACAAAATCGTGAACTTTGTGAAACTCTGCGGACTGGATAGTCCCAACATTGTCCAAAACCCCTGGTCTCTCCACGGGCGAGAGGGGGAGTTCATGCGAATTGTGAATCCTGCTCGCTAGTCTCTGTGATGGACGAGCGAAGACAGGTTCTGCAGCAGACGTTTCACCCCATAAGTGTTCCCACGTGATCTGCGTGCAGAGTTAACGAGTAGATTTTGTCAGCGGAACCATCCTGAAGTCGAAAGCGATATTTCTATTGGATTAAAAGAGATGTATTCACAAGCCTGCTTGTTTACAGTGTCTGTGTCCGGAAGTCTGGGAATTACATCTATGTTTGAAATGCACCCATCAATGCCAAATCTTTCAAACGCCAAAGCATAAAAATAGCATTATAGTTCCCTTTCAATGTGTTTTGTTTTTTTTTGGGGGGGGGGAGTTTACTGGAAATGACCAGTGTCCCATTGTTGTCTGGCAAGGATCCGTCTTTATCTGCTTTTTCTTTGAATTGGAAAAAAACCCCACCTGTAGTTCAGCTCACAGGGCTTTCCCAGGGACTGCCCAAACTCCCCCCAGCTGACCAGGAGCAGGACAGTAACATCTAAGGCAGCCCTGCTCTGATGAAAAGTACTGGCCCGTTTCAGACAATGTCATATAAACAGGTTTCTACCTGAATTCTGACTTTGTAGGTTGAACTCTTAGATACATTTATGAGATCTGTTAAAAATAGCTTCATAATCTATCGCAAAAACTTGTGTTGTTCCTTGGTGGGTCAAGATCGCTGTTGAACAGGCAGCCTGATTAATGTTATGAAAGCAGCTAGCACTGATCTTGATGCTGCTGACTCTAATCCTTGTTAAAGAGTGACTCAGGTTACACCAGCCACACTGACATGGAACTGGAGTGCCTGGACGTCTAACAGCTGATACAATCTGTTGAGGCCAGCAGCCGGGTGACACAGATCCTCTGAGTAAGGAGAATA